GGAAGGCGTAGACTGGATGCAGGAACAGAGTGCACCAGCAGACGAGTAGTTGTGTGACCACGCCTGACCGAACTGGGGCTGTACACAGTCCTGGCGCGTCTACTTGACTTGATGGAAACACAAGCCTTTGGAAGTATTAAAAACTAACACCAACAATCTAGTAAAATGCAGTCTGCCAACCAGTGGAAGGTAAAATGCCAGGATTACCACCACCACCCCAAACCCAGGAGGGTGCCAGCCTCAGGAGACCCCTGAGCTCCAGTGCCTCAGACCCTGGCACTGACAGTTCTCATTTTATTCACTTGAATCACAATAAAACTAAATGAATTTGGGCTGCAGCACCGTGCTAACCTTTGCCAAGAAAACATTTTTAAAATACCAAGGTTATTTTTCTGATGTGCCTGTTTTCTGTGGCAAGTAACTGTAATGCCAAGGCAGGATTCCAAGAGTCAGTCACTTGCCACAATTTTAGAAATATTGACACTGCGTCAGTATTCCTGCTCCACCAACACATTGACTTTACCAGACTTCCATAGCTTTCTCTTGAAATGGTTCCTTCAAATGAAGAATGGGAAGAATGGACTCTCAACCCAGAATATGGCAGCCCGGTCCACGTGGGAACGTCAGTGCAGCGTCGCCCCTATGTAATATTCCTTCCCTCATAACTGAGTAGGAATGAAAATTTTACAGAGGAAAGCCGGCTACTAGACTGCAAAAGTCCGTGCTTGTAAAAGACAGAGCAAAGACAAATGCCATCTCCGAGAGGCTAATTTCCCAGGGGAATCCTCAGTCCTGGGCTGGTTCTTCCTGCACCTGGGCTGACCACACAGCCTCGGGATACTTGATGCAGACATGCTACTGTGTCTGGGATAAAGGAAACAGACTGCTCGGGCTCCTTTAAGTAAATTAAAACCACCGATTGTTCACTTGCAAGAGCCTTAGTCATCTTGAAGCTTAAAAACAGGTTTATTATATAAAAACTGACTGATTTAGATCATCCTAAAAACTTCTAGCACAGTTCCCCATCATTATGAATTTCAGCTTATGTATCATACTCAAATCAAGCAGATTTCTTTCTTATAGGGTCTCCATCCATCACATAACAAATTATTTTGAGGCTGGGTACGGTGAGGCCCACCTATAATCCCAGCACTCAGGAGGCTAAAACAGAGGAAGATTGAGAGTTCCAGGCCAGACTGAACTACATAGCGAGACCCTGTCTCAAAAAATCAACAAAGTTTTTTGAGCAACAAAGACTTTTCAAATCCGGGAAAATCTAAATATTCCACATTAACCAGCTATGTCAGTTTTGAGTTCCTTCTTTGAGGCCATACCCACAACCTGTCATTGGTCGATCCTCCTAATCTCTGCCTCCTGAGTAGCTAGGATTCCAGGCATGAGCCATGGGCACCCGGCAACGCACTCTTCTTAACAGTGGAGTCTTACAGCTGCAGCAGAAGGGGGAGACCTCACACCCAGGTCTAAATGCAGGGCCCAAGTTCTTTCTAGGACATCACGTTCCCTCATGCCTTTTCCCCTCAACTGCACTGAAAAGGTGGATTCTTTTTCCTTGCCCATCTACAAGGGCTTTTTTCATGACTCGTTTAACTGTTTCAGAGCCCTAGACATCCCTTGCTTATGTGACAATATCCTTTTTAGAATACGTACATCTTATCTAAGTGACACAGGGACAGAAAGGACCAAGGACTCTGCAAATTTCAAGCCTGCACACTGCCATCAGCAGAACAGCAGGGATGGCAACGTCAATCGGGTCGGGCACAGCTGCACAGGCTTCTTACTCTGTGCACAGAGTGTATTTATCAACAGAAACACCAGCAAGTGAACGCAGTTGCAGCAACCTCAACCTCGACCCAATTTCAAACCTGACAGCCGTAAATCCTGGAAGAATTTACATGAAGGCCTGTGAGAAAACCATCACAAAAATTCATTCTTTAGAAAGCTTGTCCTTCACTTTAGAAATTTTTTTCAAGATGTAAGTCTGTGTCATCTAAAACAAGAGCCCCCGCTGGTTCCACAGCTCGTTAATCAGTGGCTGAGTCCCACCGGCTTCCGTGAGAGCCCCTATCTGGGAATGCTAAAAGCTGCTTCTGTACTCCGTGACCCGACATGCGCAGAACGCTAGAACTGGGTTCCCTGTCGAAACACTATCCTGATGTTAACAAGAAAGTGGGCGTTCACATGGGCAAGGACAAGGGCCTCCTTTTTCTGGAATCCTGACTCTCTCAGAAGGCACATGCATCTTCTCGAAGAGAAGAACGACCTGATGACTCGGGTCTGGAGAAAAGACCTGGTGAGCCAGCAGCGTGTGAAAACACTGGCGCCTCCCCCCCCCCCCCGCTTTATGTATGCTGTCCATCGAGGAGCAGCCAGATCTGAGGTCTCAGTCCACAGAACAAGGCTGTCGATGCAGAGATACGGGTTCTCAGGCAAATGGGTGTCCACAGCCATGAGCAGACCCAAAATAAAGTTCAAACAAAAAATACCTCTGGCCCCACGGCAAGGGCAATCCACGTGTTTACATAACTTTATCATGACTCAATGAATAAACATCTTGCAACTTCCAAACCTAGAAATGATTGTGGATGCCACAGACACCTTGGGTAAATGAACTTCAACTGAAAAGCTGAATTTGACTTGCTTCCCATGCAAGTAGGCTGGCCGAGGACAAAACTAGCCTTTCAGATGACTTCTCACAAGTGTGCCTTCTCCAAGACACCATTAATAAATCGTGTGAATTTCAGAAAGAGGATGACCAAGGAGGCGAAGGACCCCATCCAGTAGGTCTACCCTCACTGGAAAAGGGCTAGCCCTACCCTGTCACAAGTACAGGACCACAGACCACCAGAAGCTTGTGAGCTCCATTTTCAATGTGCAACTGCTCCTTCATCTGTCATGCCTGTTCTACAAGTTCTCTGCTATCCACTGAGCTCACTAACTAGGATTAGCGCAACAGTTTCTTGCTTCTTCTTGATCAAGAATCTGCTGGCCATGGAGGGCCTGCCTTACAAGATCAGATGCCCTGTGTTCCAATCACAGTACAGCCAAGGAGGGAAACAAAATCTGTCCAGTGACAGGATTAATAACCTGTCTTGAATGGAAATACAACCCCAGTATCTGTCTGGCTGTGCATCTTTCCACCCAACAGCTCTAGGCACCTGTTTATGACTCACCTGCCACACGTGTAACCACACACCTACTCCCTAGATCAGAATACGGAAGAAAAAGCTGCAGAAGTTGCTATAAAATCAAGTATTTCCTTCTGCTTCATTTATGTCAAGGCTTGATATTTCTATTTGTGAACTCGTTCTTCTGACTGCTTTGTTCTACAACACCCCGATAAAACTTAGCTTTCTATAATGGAGAAAGTGTTCAGCAGACAAAATGTGTCATAGATTCCTATAAAGGATGTATTTGTAAAAAATATATAAAACTGTAATTAAGTGCAAAGTCTGCGGGAGCTTGAATCCCTTGGACCTAAGTATTCTTCTATTCTATTCTAGCTGTAATTTTCAGTTTCACTATCAATACTCTTAAATAGCAAATAGCAACATCACCACCTTTCCATACAATCGTCCCTAACTTCCCAGGTGCGCCTACCTGGGCTGCCTATACACTTCTGACAACACTCAATTGTATTATCTATTGGATCAGAACACAGAATTTGCCTTAAAAAGATTTGATCTAAGGCAGAGGCAGAAATGTGATGCTCCACTACGTGGTACAACCACGACACTGAACTAAAGGGCAGAGATACGGATGCCACCACGTATTTCATTGTAGATCTTGTTTGAAAAATGTGTCTTCACAGGAGGCGGTACTTCACGCTCCACAACAAATTAATATTTTCTGAAATAACTCTCGATCTCAGACTAGAGCTGCACTGGGGGGAAAAAATCACGCAAGAAAAATCTAGGAGCTGGGTTTGAGTTTCAATTAGGCTTTTGCTTTATCGCCTTGCATTGGTCATTTGCAGACCAGTGTATCTTCGACTGCAATACAAAGAAACTGGACTTAATTCTCTTTATGGTTTCTTCCAATTCTAAAATTCTTGGAATGGATGTAATTTCAATCTCTCCCCGTTGCAAAAGTTAAGCATGAAACAATAATGGTAAGTTAGCCTTGATTTTTCTTTTTCCCTCTTTAAAAAAGAGCCCAACTTGAGGTGCTTTCTTAAGTTGAAGTTTCATTTAGGATAATAAAATGCCAAATGAAAAACGATTTAGAAGGGGGAGGGAGAGGGGAAAAAAAAAAAAAAGAAAATCACACGCTGACGTCGCTAAAATAGAAGCTCCAATTACCCGCAGGCCAGTTTGTCAATAGTTACTCAAAAGCTGCTACTCTAATCACTGGCTTCCTAAAATAGAAATATTTATCTTCATTTCCTTCTCGTCCCCAAAGACTGATCAGGAATAAAAAGCACAGCGCGTGTGGGGTTATATCTATATCTATATCTAACCACACACACATATATGCATATATATAATCGATTTGCAACTTCAGATATATATACATATACATATAAATCAATTTACAACTTCAGAACAAGTTGCAAGGGGAGCAGGAAACTCCGCACAGCTCGCCCAGTCATTATAATAAGGCCCTTAAGAAACGGCCCTTATTTAAGATGCAAGGAATGCACAAGAGGCAGGTGACATTTGGGAACAAGGAAAAGCCACGAAAGGAAGACAGGCCGAGGATTTGGGGGGCAACAGGTCTAAAAGCCAGAATCTCGGTTATCGCAGAGTCCCCGATGGTGGGGGGATGGGGTCGGTCACGGTCACCTCGCCCCGCCGCCCTCCCCCACCCCTCACCCCATCCCCACGCCCCTGCAGCAGCATCCACGCGGATCCCTCGCTTCCCCCGGGCCTCCGGATCCCTCCGGCAAGGCCCTGGGATTCCGGGGATCCCCAGACGCCCAACCCCCCCCCCGCCCCGCCCCGCCCCCGCAGCGGCCCCGCAGCCGGGTCCCCGCCGCTCACCTGCACCTGTTTGCGGAAGTGGCGCGGCCCCGGCACTGCCGGCGGCCAGGAGCAGCAACAGCGGCAGTGGCAGCAGCGACACCGGTGGCCCAGGCATCTCGCCCACGGCGCGGCCCCACGGGGCTGACTCTCGGTTCGCCTTCCGTGGGTCTGTCTGCCTTGTCCGTCCGAGCTGCCTCAGCGGCACCCGTGCCGGCTGCTCCTGGACACACGTTGCTTCTGCCAAACCTCAGTCCGGTTCCTTCGGCCAAACCTCATTCGCCACTCCGGCCGCATTAACACCATCCTTCCCGCCTGCCTGCAACGTCGCCGCCGCCGCCTCTCAACAGCAGCAACGGCAGCAACTCTGCGGAGCCGCGGGTCCCGGCGGCCGCGCTCCCGCCGCCATGATGGGCTGCGTCATGTGACGTAGCGCGGAGGCGGGATGCTGTGACAGACAGCCAGGCCAACCAATCATCTATCCACACTTGCCCTAGAGGCCTCGCCTCCAGGAGAGGAGGCGCACCAGTGCGCCCTCTGCAGACCGAGGAGTGAGTAGGCAGCAGGTGATACAATTAAAAAAATTTAGATGCAGAAAAATACAAGAAAGACCAGAAAAATCCACCCATAATTCAATCTGATTTTTCTGAGTATCTCATAACACCAAAAAACAGGCTCTTCTGCCTTTTTTACTCTTCAGATCCGTTTTAGGCTCTTCTTTTCTTAGATTGACCTATACAGCCTGTTCAGGAATCAAGGAACTGTTTAATTCTGCAAGATCAAAATGCCTCTCCCTCAGCACTCTCTGACTCAGCTCCTGAGCTCAAGCTGGTCTCTCTGCCAAGACAGCCCTTCCTGTCCCCTCTTGTCCACCTGGCAAACACTCTTCCTTTCATCAGTCAAGACACACCTGAGGTATGACATCACCTATTGAAGGCTCCTCACCAATCCCCAGAATGAATGACTAGCATCTGGTGCCCCGCCTTGGCCCTGGATGGCCTGCAACCCCACATGCCATGTATTGTTGTTCCGGTGACTATAAGCAATCTGAGGACAGCTACTGTGAGTGAGCAGCTGGGATTCCCAGAGCTCCCACAGGGCTTGACTTGGAGTAGGTCCTGTGGTGGGTGCAGCTCCCAGGTGCAGCAGAAGCCTTAGTCCTGCAGTAGAAATTGTAAAAGCAATTTCCAGACACAAGTAACATAGTGGTCAGAGAAGCCTGGGGAGTGGGAAAATGGCCAGTTTTTCTACAAAAGCACTTGAGGTCCACTTTGTGTGTGTGAGGAACTGATTTGAATTTTATCAGATAGGACTTTACCAAGTGACAACAAGGAAGCCTCCCCAATTCTCCAACCCCCCACTCCAAACATTCATCCGAAATACCAGCTGTCTGTGTGCTAACCCGGCATTGTACAGAAAGACAATGGCCGGGGAGCATTTGTCTGATGGTTGAGTCAAGCCACCGCAACACCTAAGGAACAAACAGCTGCCATGTGACTCTGCATTAAAACATCCACTGCTTTCTGTCCATTTCTCTTCAGGAAAGGGAAGGAAAACAAAGATCTAGAAAAAAGGTACAATCACACTGCTGTGTTTCTCTTTCCGTCAGGACGCTCAGCCCTTTGCGTTCAAGAAAGCCAGAGATATTGACACTGTGACCTGAGGAGGTACCGACTAGCAATACTGGCTCAACCAAGGCCCCGCCCCATAATCCTTATGGCAATTGACCATAATGAAGATGCAGCAACAGGTCACTCTACAATCACAAAGCAGGTTTTGTTATTATTTGAGAAAGCCCCAAAGTACACACACACACACACACACACACACACACACACTCATCTTTTTCTGTGTGGCATCCACACAGCAGAGTTTAAAGTACACATTCCTCAGAAAAAATCTAATGGAAACCTTTGCCTCACTGTACACCTCACCAGGTCCACCTTTGTCCAGTACTTCCCCTGAAGACTTTCTAGTTAGAGAGTTTATAAAACAAACAAAAACCACTTGGCTTTGTAAAATCTTACCTTGAGCACAACTTAGATACCTAAGACTAGAAGCAAGATATTTTTAGTATTTCTAAAGTTGTTCCCACATGTGCTCACATTTTTCCAAGTATTTCTTCATGCCAGACTCACGTGGAAGACACTCCTGGCAGTGTATGTCCTGCCAGCGAGTTCTGGCCAAGGTCTACATGCTGAAGGATGTATTCAGCTTAGTAGTGGGTGAGCAGCACCCACTACCCAACAGATACTCTGAAAGTTTCCCCAGCTCAGCGAGATCAAATGGGAACATCCAGGAGGGCCCTGATAATAAGGTAGCAGAGCAGTCAGCCCCAGGCAAAAATGCAAGACCCTGTTCAAAAAAATAACTAGCAAACTCAAGGCCCTGGGTCGAAACCACAGTACCATAAAAAATTCAATGATACAAATTTACAATTAAGTAAGTTATATTTAAAAAGAAAAGTAATGAGGAACAGAACTTCCAGAAAGTAAAGGAACAAGAACAGTGGTAAAAATTGTCGAAATGAACTTCTTTAGGACTCTAGAAATTGGCCAGAGGTTTACAACATGAGTCATTTTATTAAAGAAAAATGGTTGGGTCACTGGGTGTGGTGGTTCACTGGGTGTGGTGGCTCACTCCTGTAATCCCGGAACTCAGGAAGCTGAGGCAGGAGGATGGTGAGTTCAAGGTCAGCATGCATTGTATAGTGAGTTCCAAGCCAGCCTGGATTACATTGCGATACAGTGGAAACCACCAGCCTCACGGCCATGGTAATGGTGAAGCCAGCAGCCTTTCTATCATGATGACAGTGAAAGCAAGCAGCCTGTAGCTACTGGAGGAAGCAGAGCAGGTATTGGGGTTCCACCAAAGCTGTATCCCCAGAGCACTGTCACCATTTGACCTGGGTGGCAGCTCTCTAGGATGGCTATGACAGAAATCCTTCATAGCAAACACCCCGGTCCCCAGCTTATCGAAAATAATTAATTCCAACCATTGAATGTCATGACTGCATAGCCAAAGACACCGGTTAGCTATTCCAAACCTTTGGGAAGTTGGGCACCCGTGGCTCACACCTGTAATCCCAGCTTCTTGGGAGGCTGAGATCAGGAGGCTCTTGATTTGAAGCCAGTGGGGGAAAAAATAATTTGAGAAGCCCCCAGCGCAAAATGGACTGGAAGAGTGGCTCAAGTGGTAGAGCACCTGCTTTGCAAGCACAAAACCCTGGGTTCAAATCACAACCCACCAAAAAAAAAAAAACTTTGGGAAAAAGCCCAGGGAATAATATATTAATAGGGAATTGCAAAAGCTGTCATATTCTTGGAAATCTAGACTGCTGGGCCATGCCAGGAAAGACATGAGGAGAACTAGGATTAGGGTTAGGGTTAGGGTTTCTATCCCTGGCTGACTTTAAGATGACGAAGAGCAGGGATGAGGACTAGGAAAAAAAGCAGAATTTTAGACTTAGCCACATCCAACCACCACCACATCCACACATGCACACCTGGCACAACACCGAATTAAGGCATTTCCAGAAATCCCTCTACCGTCATTAGCTGACCACTAAGCTAACTGCAGAGACTTTGGTGGCTGTATAACAATTTTTTTTTAAAAGACTTTACAGCATTAGTCAAGGAAAGTCAATAAAAATTGAATGGTGGCACCTGTTACTACGAACAGCAACAATACAAACCCTGGGCAGGGAGATACAAGGGCAAATTGATTTCCAGGATTTCCTCATTAAATGACTTAAATGCCCAGTTTCAGCCAGGCACCAGTGGGCTCACCATTGTAATCAGAGCTCCAGGGAGGCTGAGATCAGGAGGATTGCAGTTCGAGGCCAGCCTCAGGCAAATGGTTTGAGAGACTCTGTCTTAAAAAATACCCAATGCAAAAAAAAAAAAAAAGGCTGGGGAGTGGCTCTAGACCTAAGAGTGCCTTCCTAGCAAGCATGAGGCAGGTTCAAACTCCAGTACCACGACAACATCCAATGAAAAACAGAGACACAGTCCAGGGTATACAGGTGCTCATGCCTGTAATCCTTGCTACTTGGGAGCTTGGGATCCGGAGAAATGGTTTCAAGGGAAATAATTCATGAGACGCCATTCCAGATTAACCAGAGCAAAATGGAGGTGTGGCTCAAGCAGCAGAGTGCCTACTTTGCAAGTGTGAAGCACTGAGTTCAAATCCATCCCATCAAAAATATTTATTATTTAAAAACAGAGGTACTAACCTCTACGAAGTCATTGATTCTTGTAATTTTACTGTGGTTATCTATGCTGTCGATATTATTTGCATCTTGGGGTCCCTGTATGGCGGAAGCTATAATACTGTACCATTCCACCCAGGTCCAGCGACATCAAGTCTGAAACATCACAGCACGTGCCGATTGGGTGTTCACACAAATCGGCAAACACAGACCACCAGTCGGGGCTCTTTCCCGCCAGATCCCTTTGTTTACCCTTCCAACACACCAGCGACCTTTGCAACGGGACAGCCTCCACAGGGCGTCTCAGATCGTCCTTGCTTGACTGTGTGCTTCTGTGACTGCATTAATTGAACCCAACCTTAGGCAAATAAGGAGCTAGTAGACTAAAAGTCACATGACCATCCCTTGCCATCCAGGATGATAGCTGACTTTATCTGCACTGCAGGTTGGCTCCCCTTTCTGTGAACTCCTCACCTGCACAGCCTTCTAGGTCCGCTCTGAAGTCATGTGACTCAGGTACAGAGGCATCGAGTGTCTTTCAGAGCCTGAGTCACCAGGAGGTGGGGGACACAATCTGACAAATTAACATCGTTTATTCTGCAGTAGAGGAATGCTACCCATAAGATAGTTACAGGATTTGTAGGAAAAAATACACGACAGAGTCAGGCACTGGTGGCTCTAGCCTGTAATCCCAGCTACTCAGGAGCAGAGATCAGGAGGATTGAGGTTCGAAGCCAGCCAGGGCAAAGAGTCACGAGACCCTATCTCAAAAAAAAAAAAAAAATCACAAAAAAGCGCTGGTGGAGTGGCTCAAGGTGAGGTCCTGAGCTCAAGATCCAATCTGCAAAAAAAAAGGAAAAAGAAATACCACAGCAGATGATAAAATACAGACTAGAATACATTTTAAAATCCTATTATGGACAGATTTTTTTCCCCCAAGCATTTGAAGCTAAGTTTTTTTAACCACTGACATACAGATCACTCTTCATGTGTTCAGACAGGTAACCACTCTTTAATCTTTTTCTAATTTTAGAATACGACTTTATCACCATAAAAGAAAACTGTGGGTTTGGTGGAGTGGCTAAGTGGTAGAGCGCCTGCTGGCAAGTGTGGAGGCTCTGGTTCGAACCCCGTACCGCCAGGGAAGAAGAGAGTTGACGCTGAGGACTTCTTGTGACTGTAC